GATGCCTAGGTCGTTCCGGAGACCGACCCGGGTGGCCCGCTGGCCTCCCCTCGATGGAGATTCTGTGGGCATGGCTCGAGGCTAGGATCGAACGAGAAGGTTGAGACGACCCTGTCTGCTATGGAGCAGACTGGGCGAGGGCCGCTCGGGGCTCAACTACGTTTTCTCCCCCGGCTCTGTTTGACGCGAGGTGGCCTCGAGCCCTTCGTGGGCCGGCCTTCGAACCCCGGTCGGTCGTTGCTCATGTTGAATGAGGCAACTACCACTTCGTGACGCAACATGAAGCGTTGAGACGCATTGGCCAACTGTCGGTGCAGAAAGTAACTAACACGTAAATATTTTTAGTTTTGCCGTACGTTGTGATCGGATGTGGCCTAGCACTCAATGACACAGGGTTTATACTGGTTCAGGCAACATGCCCTATGTCCAGTTTGAGTCGGTCGGGGACTTTATTCCTAAGCCCAGGTGCTCGAAGTTTGCTGTGGGGTTACAAACGAGAAGGAGTAAGGTGGGGGTACAAGAGGCCCGGTCGGACTCCGGTCTGAACGGCCGAGAGTGATGGGAGCTCCGCTATGTGCTAAGTGTTTGAGCATGCGTTCTGTGTAGCTTTAGAGTGTCTAAAGCTAGCAGATGGTGAATTGATGTGAGTGAACTGATCGTTCCCTATTGGGAGACAGCGTATCCCTTTTATAGATGAAGGAGATGGCCTTACAAGTGAGAGAGAGAGAGTGTGTGTGTGTACGTATGCCGATGAGTCTTGTTGCCCACGCCGTTGGGTACAAGATGATGGTAGACGCCCACAACACTGTTGTTGCCAGATGCATATGGGAAGTTTTACCGTGTTCACTATGTATGGTAAATGACGGCGCCCACGACACTGTTGATGCCCAGAGGCATGTGGGGAGTCTTACCGTGTTCGTCTGGTATGAGAATTGATGACGCCCATAACACTGTAGGGTAAAACTTCGGCGTCCACAGCACTGCTTGGGTTCTGACATGCCTGGAAGGTTTGCAGGGCACCCTTCTGACATGCCTTATCAGTACTGTCCTACAAATGTACAGGGTACGGTCCTGGTTTGACTTGAGCGCCCTGTCTTACTTGCTCCACCCGCTTCCTGGTCCTCACCGAGCGGGTGTCCCCGGTCGGTTGGTCCCAGTCAGCTCCGATTGTGGCAATCGGAGAAGAACTGTAAGCAGAGGTTCGGTGTATCCCCGGTCGGAGACGTAGGTCGGAGTCGGAAAGCGGGCGTCGTTCCTCCTTGGCCAGGCTTTCCGATCGGAGAGGCGGGCTGGAGTCGGAAGCGAGGCCTTCCGGTCAGAGAGGCGGGCCGGAGTCGGAGGCAAGCGAGCGCCGTTCTGGCCTGTCATTAAGTTTTTGGGCCGGCCCAGGAGTTGCGCGTTTGTTCGCGACGTCGTCTGCTGGGCCGAGCCTTTGCTAGGAAGCCAGTCCATGAGGGACCCTGGGTTTACGAACCCGACAACCTCCTTCCAAAGAAACCTTAAACCTTACCTCTATATAGATGCCGCTGCTCTGTAAACTCCATAGATCTAAAGCCAAAATTTTCCGGACGAACTTTTCCACTAAACATTTCGGCGTCAAAATCCATCACTGTCTGGCATCCCCGGCAGATTCGAACATAATCCCAAGGCTACTAGAAGCTCCACCCTCTCAGTGCATATTGATCGCATCCAAGGCATAGGATGGAACTTAGTATTCACTTTGTGAGGAATAGACCTTGGGGCTTGAGAACTTTGAGTTTTGGGCCCTCGTGCCATTGTAATCTTGGTGAGCTGCAACATTTGAGATCTTGGTGAGCTTCCGACGCCGTCACCGATTTGGTGCAGCCATGGCAACTTGCCAACTTGGTGTTTGTGGACGGACACCTTCCTTGATAGGGAAGCTCCGTAGTGGATGACGATAAGGTAACTGTAAGATACAGGAGGCAGTGGTGAGCATTAGTGCCTTCCACAGTAAATGCTTTCTGAATAGTGTACTACCCCATGATCTAACTCCTTTTGGTTTGAACGAACAAAGGCATTTAAAATTGGCAGTAGTCTTTTTTTTTCTCGTAATTTAACACCATACGGTTCAAGCTTCTCTCTTTTAATCCTTCCATTACGTTTAGAAATTCAGAAATGCTACGATGAGCATGTCCGATCCTCCGGATGCTCCCGTTTGTGGGCCGCAACACCAGCCCAATGGTCCAATAGTCATAGCCTCTCGCCCATAAGTTCCTAACCGTAGTCTGTTGTCTCCATTCTTCACGAAAAATCACCGTGGCTCGAGCAGACGCACTCTGCTGCGACCGCGCTCCGCCACCCCGCCCCAGCATGGCAGCGTTCTCCACGACGGCCAGGGGCTCAACGGTTAGCATCTCCACCATGCCCGAGCACGCACGGCCGCCCGCCTTGATCCCTCTCCATTATGCCTCCCGACTCCCTCCTTCCTCCCTCTCCACCCCACCTCTAGCCCGCCGCGGCCTTCTACACCGGAGCAGCGACAGTTCACGCCAGACCCACCATGGCCTTCTCTACCAGAGTGGCAACAGCTCGCGCCAGCACGAGATCGAGAGCGCCACCATCCAGCCGTGCCGATCCACCTTGCCCATCGTGGAAGGGGAACCAGGGGAGGCCTGCGCCTGCGCCCCCATCCACCTCGTGCTGTTGGCAAGAAGGGGAGGCCTGCGCCACCATAGTTCCCCACCAAGTAGGTCATGGTCGCACGGCGATGCTGTGTTTCAAGTGTTTCTGGACGTTTTTTTAGACATGTTGCAACCTTGTGTTTCAAGTGTTTTAATTGTTTCAGATATATGTTTCAATTATTTCATGCGGATGTTGCAAAAGTAGATCGGAATGTTGCATGTATTGCAATGCTTGTACACGTATGTTATAAGCGTCTATACCTAATGTTTCATCTGTTTTTTGTACACGTATGTTGCAAGTGTTTCAGACGCATGTCTCAAATATTTCATCTGTCTTCTTTTGTATGTTGCAAGTGTTGTATTTGGATGTTTCAAAAACAGATCGGGATATTACACATGTTGCAATGGTATTTCAACTGTATGTCCCAAATATTTCATATGTTTTAGATATACATTACAAAGGTTTTATCTGGATGTTGTAAAAGTAAATCTGGTGTTTGAATAGCGAGACCCACCTACCACAGCTACATGCTTATAGCTGCTGGGCCGCATGCATGCATGTGGGAGCGGAGGGGCGGGCGGCAGACGCGAGAAACAAGAGCGGGGCCCGTGTGGGCGTGCATGCGCGGGAAACTGAGCAGCGTGGGCGCACAGGCAGGCGTTGCTGGGGTGAGCGTATGGACGCTGGCGCCCGGACAGTTCCCTTAGAAATTTAACTATCGTGCTATAGATAACACACAGGAATACAATAGTCCTCGACACTGTCCATGTTCTGTAGTCAAAATATGTTGAACAATGTAAACAACCAATTGCGTTTACGTGCCAATCAGTTCTCACAGAATCAAATGCCAGGAACATTTTTTGTCGGTTCTTCAGATCCGGGAACATCCAAAAACGCGGCTCTTGCATTGACTGATTCGCAGGCTTCCTCAATCCTCAACGTGGATGCATCTCATGATTATTGATTAATATATAATCCACAGCTCCCTTAGATTCTTAGCTGTGTCCCGGAGGCAGCAGCTGCTATCCCATAAACAGGGGAAGAATCAGATCGCATAAACTCTCGAAAAATGCACTGACAGTTTGCCCTATTGTATTTTGTTGCTGTCCACTTATTTGCATTTCTCTGCAAAACCAGGGTACCACAGCATGGGACAGAGATTACTGACGATGCTTTCCCCTGCTGTCTAGGGAAAAGTCTAGCAAAAGGGTTATAAAATGGTTAAACTGTGTGTAGCTTAATTTGTTAATTAAAGTCCACCTGTCTGCCCAACACTGACCCCGTTCGCTTCGCTAAAAAAACAAGCCACAATACTGTTCTAGCTGATTTGTTGTGAAAGAAAACACCGTTCCATGTGAAAAAACAAGTCAAAAAGTACGGATTATAAGATAAGCGAACAGGGTCACTGCTGGAAACCGGAATTTCCCTAACGGTGTTGATTTTTTTATGGTTATTACGTAAACCGGTAGGTAACGATTTGGCATTCAGCTTGCTGAAGTGTAAGTGTTATCCACATTTTCCATCGTCTTAAGTTTTTGAGTTGATATGGTGTGCGCATTCAACTCAATACAGTTTTCGGTGTTTAGATGCAACCAAGTAGCCAGTATTACTCTCAACGAGTATTACCTGTCAGGTCAAAAGACTAGCGACCCATTTTGATCCTTCCGTCCAGCCACATCCAAGAGAAGGTCAATTAGTTATTATTTTAAGATTTTAATTGTTAGGTGCAATCACAGAAATGTACTCTTGTGGTTTCTTTATGCCATTCCTGCTGCCAACGATATAAGCCCCAACAAATGCAGTCTTCTCGTGGATGTTGCTAATGCAAACCTAGCTACAAGGGAGGATGGGAGGTGATGGAACTTCTGCATACTCCAAATAATTCCATTGAGGCATCCAAGAAGGGTATAAACACCATCATCTTTATACCTTGAGGTATGTGCATTACTCGACCAGAAATTGCTTTGTGGACTACAAATCTTCTTCAGTTGTGTATATATCTCTCTATTTAGGAAAAATCTTTTAGAAACAAAAGGCAGTTTTGAAATTAGAGCTCTTTGCTTTACATTTGCTGCCTTCTTCATGTCTCTGTGTCCAAATTAAAGGACTTGTTCTTGTTCACATCCGCCAATGGCATATAAGATGAAAGGCGTATTCAAGGGCCTCATGGTCATCTCTCAGATCTTTGGTACGTAATCAACATCAAAATGTGTGGAATTTTTACATGGTTTCATACAGGAATAAAAGTATGGAAGTATTTGTGACGATTCTGAGAAAAGCTTGAAAGCTCAAGTTCCTTTCTTGTGCACCAACTTATTATTCTTTGTTGCTCATGTTCATGTATAACACTCTTGAAGTGGTAAAGGACCATCAGATGGAGATCGGTTATCCAACTGATGTGAAGCATGTTGCGCACATCGGTTGGGATAGCCCAACAGGCAGTGCACCTTCTCCTAGCTGGGTACATCCTACATTGCAAAATTCACAATTTGAAACAATGCTGCAACTATTGTTTCCTCTTCCCACTGCCTGATTGCACCCTTGATCATGACTCATTTAGAAGCTGATAAACTCCAAATTTCTTCGTAGATGAATGACATGAAGGGGTCACCAGACTTTTCATCGCTGAGCAATGCCGGACCATCTGCACGAACATCCTGGGCTTCTTCTCAAGGTGATTTTCGGATCTCTTGTTCATTACTTATTGCATTAGTGGTTCACATGTTTGATCCAATTGTTTTCTGCTTTCTTTAGTGAAGAATATTCTGCATTTAATTTATTTGAGCGGTGATGTGTGTGCGGTGAAGGAAACGGTAGTTGTTTATCCTACACTACTACGGTAATGATTTGTAGGGACGGCTAAAGAGGGTTTGTAGGGGCGGTTTGGCTAGCCACCCCTACCAAACCGTTGTTACAAATGGCTGGTTTGTAGGGGCGGTTCCCAAGCTGTCCCTATAAATCGATTTGTAGCCCCTACAACTGTATTTGTAGGAGTGGCTGGTTCGCCTCTACAAATATGATTTGTAGGGGCGGCTGTAACAGCAGCCGCCCATATAAATCCCATTTGTAGGGGCGGTTAAATTTACAGCCGCCCCTATAATGCTTTTCCCGTCAAAAAAATTCAAAATTTCAATATCAAATTTGACTAGATCATATATATATATCCACAAGTCCACCAGACCATTATATATATTCAGATTGACCAATAACATATTGCATATAATTCATCATTGCATCACATTCACAAGTCCAATAACAGTCAGAAGTCCGATCACATTCCATTCACAAGTCCAATCAACGGCCTTAGCCTAGTCTTTCCCACTCACGAAGATGTTGGTACTGAGGATTCCTACCTAAGTCGGACGATGGGTCATGGTAAGTGCCTCTGATGTGCACAATCTAGTCCATTATGAAGTTGCAAAAGTCGTCGACGAGGTCCAAGAGGTTGTCATCTTTGTGGATCATTTCTCACACCTTTCTCATCTTGCCACTATAAGAAAACAAGTTTAGGTTTAGTATTTCGTAACATATATGTGTGTTTTGTACCAAGTTTGTATACTATGGGTGAAGAGGATCAAACTTACCCTACAGGGGTGTCTCCTGTAGGTAGTGGTGTTACTTATGATATTACATACGTAATATCCACAATGTACACTCCCGGGCTTCTGGGAGGTAAACACATCTTAAACTAGTTTTGGGTCTCCACCACGAAATCATGTAGGTCACTCAGCTCTTTTTTACCAATCGTCTTCTGTGAGATCTTCGAAAAGAAGTAGCACATGCGGGTGATGGCCTTTTTCAAAAACTCTGGCTTTATAGCCCTGATTGCAATAGGTAGAAACGCTGCCAGCATGACATGACAATCGTAAGCCTTGAAGTTTTTTACTGATAGGTCCTTCATCGACACTAGCCTCTTCACGTTTGCTGAAAACCCAGTCGGAACTTTGACCCCCCTCAAGAAAGTGCACATCGCCCTCCTCTCTTCCGGGGTCAGGTTAAAGCTAGCCGTGGGCAGAGTGTATTTTCCATTACCCTCTGGTACAGGGTGAAGCTCTCTCTTCACATTTAGTTGTACCATGTCTTTCCATGATTTCAGACCATCCTTTGTCTTGCCTATGTCCATCAAGGTAGCAATGAGACTCTCAAAGACATTCTTCTACACATGCATAGCATCAATGGCATGGGGGGCCTCCAAGTCTGGCCAATAAGGCAGATACTGAAAGAAGATCGACTGTTTTTTGAAAGGTACGCCGACAATAGGAGGTGTGCTTCTATCTTTCTTCGTCCTATCCAGATTCTTCTTTCCGAGGACGACACGTATGTTTTTCACCATTTCGAACACGTGTTGCCCGTTTTTCGTCTCTCTAGAGAGGGTTCATTCTCTGGCTTGTTGTTATAATATCTAAAGTACATCTTACCACGGTATTTATGAGTTGTCTTTAAGAAGAGTCGGTACCTTAGGTAGACTGTCTTCTTGGATGCATCTAGGTACACCCATGCAGTACCATCCAAGCATACTAAGCATCCTGTCTTCCCTTTGATCTGTCCAGACAAAGCAAACAGCGCGAGGTAATCATTGGTAGTAACAAAGATCATGGCTCTACATATGAAGTCCTCCTTTCCGAACGCATCGTACATCGGCTCCCCATGCCTCCATAGCCTCTCCATTTCTTACATCAAAGGCTCGAGGAACACATCTATGTCAATGCCAGGTTGTTTCGGACCTTGAATGAGAATAGTGAGGAGAAGGTACTTTCTCTTCTGACATAGCCATGTTGGGATGTTGTACATGGTCAAGATCACTAGCCATGTGCTATGGTCGCTGGTCCTCTCATTGAACGGATTCATTCCATCGGTGCTCAAGTCGAACCATACGTTCCTTGGGTTGCCGCTAAATTCTGTGTGTTTCACATCGAAGCGTTCCCACTGAGTGCCATCAGTCGGGTGTGCAATCACATCATCACTCACCTTGCTCTCATCATCCCACCATGTCATGAGTGCAGCTTCCTTAGGGTTTAGGAAGATATGCCTCAAGCGGTCGACCACTGGCAGGTACCACATGACCAAGGCCGGAATTCTTCTCTACTTTGCATCGTTGCCTAATGGAGTGTCCTCTGGGGTTGAGTATCTTGTACCACCTTTTTCCCACCCTTCTTCCTCTTCTTCCTGGTGGAGGCTTCTTCCCTATCGTAAAGGTCGTTGTTTTTATACCGACTGGCCCCACATCTGGGACATTTATCTAGTGACTTGAACGTATCGCAACGAACAAGGATATAGTGGTTGGGGCATGCATGGATTTTTTTTCAACCCCCATTGTCAATGGATTTATAACCTTCTTCGCTTGGTATGTGTTGGCGGGAACTGAGTTTGGTTGTGGCAGCAACCATGATAGGAGATGCAATAGATCATTGAACTACAGTCTAACCAGCCGTACTTAGCCTTTAGGATGAGTAGCTCAAACACAAATCGTAGCACTGTCCAGTGTTTCGAACAACCCTTTTCAACACCATACACAGTCTCTTTCGATGCTTTTTTATCCTTTCCAAATTTTCTAGACCTTTTGGGCTCTTTAGTAAAATCTCTAGTCCAATAGACCGAAGCATGTAGTCCAAATCATCATCATCATCTTCATCACCGACACATGCTCCGCCATCATTATAGACACCACCTTCGGCGTTACCATCCCAACCACCAGCATCGCCACCTTGCTCAAGGTAATCATTAGCCATTTGTACACCAAGCTCTGCTACATATTGGTCCAGGTAACCTAGGGTTTCAACGTCATCTTCTTCTGGATCAACGTCGTCAACAATCCTATCACCAGCCGCCCCTACTGTTCGATTTGTAGGGCGGCTGGCCCAGTGGGTCCCGGACACGACCACTGTAGGGGTGGTTGCTGATGGAGCCGCCCCTACAAAAAAAAAGGGCCTGTTGCTACAAATCGATTGTGTAGTAGTGCTAGGAATGCTCTCATGTTGCCATTTTTAGACAGCAATCTTATGTTGGTTCATAATTCATTGAATCATGATCTATCAGTTTTCAGACAATCACCCATGATGCTATTAATAAAATTTCAGTGTCTTTCAACTGCCAACAGCATCTTCTGTTGTTGGTGGAGCTGGGATGCAACTTATGATGAATAAACAAAATAATAGGATCTGGTCCATTTGAATTGTGGACCACAATTATACCCTTATGTGTAGTTTATGTTTTGTGTAGATATTCATCTCATAAATGACAGTTTATGTTTATAAAATTTCATAAATTAGATATTTAGAGTACATTCAAACATTTTTTTTCTTCATAAAACATCATTCAGTAATTCATACCATAACTTGGATAATACTTCGTGGCTGACCAAAACATGCTTTATAAAATGTAAACAAAAGCTTCAGCTGGATTCCAGCCGGTCAAAGAACTTAAGAACTTCATAACATGTCATCCACTAAGTCGTGTGCTGTCAGAAGCAAAACTATGAGATGTTAAATACTCAGATTATTCATCTCCTCCTCCCAAAAAAAAAAAATGGTATAATGACTCTGATTGTCACCTTTCAAAAATTAACTGATTGTCAAACCCACATATCTATCAAAGCAACGACATGGCTTATGGTTCTACTAAAACTCAATGACCAAAGGTGTAGAATGACATGTTTTGAATGGGCAAATGCACTTAAATATCCTCAATGAAATAAAAAAAAAATCTTCAAATATATATTTTGTATTCTACTGCTATTGTTGTCACTGATGTCCTATAATTCTCATTTACAGATTTTGGCGAGCCTCGAGATATATCACCCTTTGGTATATTTCCAGAAAGTAGCGGTCAAGAAACAACCCAGTACCCAGACATACCCATACCAAAGCCAACCAAGAAGTCGAGAAGGAAGAAATCCAAGAATGACTCGCCGAGGGCATCCGCGAGATCCTCAAGGTCATCAAGATAAAGGTCCAAAAGCTCATTTTCATCTACCGCTGACAGTATCAGTGTCAAGGATATGCAACCGTAAATCTAGATTGTATAGGCCATTCTTACTTATGTTGCCCCGTCAGTAGTTGGCATGCATAAGGGTTCTGACATCTGAGAGAGAAAAAAAAGGTATCCGTTGATATTCAATTGAGTCGAGGCAAGACTTATTTCTTTTGATTGTTTATGTGAAGTGGTTGATTAGCTGTTGGGATCCTTTTGTCTTTCCAGTTCAGGGGAAATCAGTAGTAGAAATGTCTAATGCTTGATGAGCCAATATTATACTCCGACCTCCATGAAATGCCCAGCAACGGACAATTTAGACGATATTCTGGATTCTGAAACAAAATTGTGAAAGTTCTACTCACTGTAAAGGCAACTGCTGCAGTAGAGAAGATTATAGTGCCAAGTATTATTAGGAGGCACATACTACACGGTATATATTTGATTCCTTTGAGACTAAGACATACATGATATGATGCTCATACATATATGAAAGTAAAATTTTAAAAAAAAGCAGTTAAACACAAATCATTGGGATGGCTATTCACCAGTACAACAATGGTAGTCACGTGACGAACTACTGGAGCTAATTGACTTACTCCATGTAAACAATTGAACTAGTTGCGATTCCAGATGCAGTCAGGCATCATGCATCCTCCTGTGTTTACATTTCGGCGTATAATATTTGTCAAGCCTACTATGCTAAATAGTGCATGTTTACAGCTGTTAACCAAATAAAAAGTTCAATAACTCCAGCAGTCATACGATTTATAGATAATAACACATAATTTTCCAAGCCATGAGATAGAAATCACGCTTTATTACTACCATCTTAAGAAACAAATACATATCCATCAACTGTATAAATTTATGTTACATACACCACAGTTCAAATTTTTTTGATATCCTATCTAACCAACCCCCATGGTACTTACTCCGAATAAAAACCATGAATGAAAGAACAGCCGATGCCACCAATTGCTGATAGTCTGGCAACAAAGCTAGTATACAACAACATTTGCTCCTTGGAGTCCTTAATAAGTCGACCTAGAAGCTTGTGACAGGTCACTGGCTATGGTGACGTCATTCATGATACTTGAGAAGTCTAACTACAGGAACAGGACTATAACAGTAAGGGGTTGTTTCTACTAAGGCATTGCTTGGTGATTACTACAAGAATACGACCACAACAGTAAGGGTTGTTTGGATGAAGGCATTGCTTAGTGATTTGTCAAGGATTTGGATCCACTATATTTCCCCTTTATATAAAGCCCTATGGGTTTAAGGGTTTAGTATCAGCCATGACCTGAGGACCTCTTGTTAGAACTTCTATCTAAGGAGCCATAATGGTTTTGTGACTGGTGTGAGTTAGGTCTTGTGGGGGGTGTCCCACCTCCATAAGGTCGCTGCTGCCACTGTTGAGCTCCATATGGTGCAGGCTGGTATCCCCCTGAATAACCACCAGCATATGCTGGTGGGGGTTGCCCATACAGCCCAGGACCTGCTGATGGGGCAGCAGACTGTGAGTTGCCACGGTTTTGATGGTATCCAGGTGGTTGAACTCTTCCACTAGAATGATGGTGGTTCTCTCTTGCATATGGGTTATACTGTTGCCTTCCACGGTTATCTCGTTCATACCGAGAAGGTCCTGACCTTTCAGGGTGATACTGACCATATGCTGCTTGACCATTGGCCATGTTATCACCAGGAACATGCCAGCCTGGACGACCAGCAGGCTGTTCCATTCTCGGAGGCACTCCATGGTTACCCACGTGATGCATTCCATTTGGATAGTTCATACCACTCATTATTGTCTGATATGGCATAGATGGGGAATTATGTTGCCCACCACCCCGAACATTCAAGCTGTTTACAACAAGTCGATGGGCAGCTTCCCCGAGTTGGCGGCCAGATAGAGCTCCTGATGGGTTTTGCCTGAAACCAATTCATAATATGTATAAATTTTCAATGCGGCTGCAAGACAAGGGAAAGAACTGGAATAGTACCTGTTGCTGTTATCATAAGGCCTCCGGTAATTGTTATCATGAGGCCTCCTACCACTGTCTTCATGCCACAGCACTGGTGGAGGTTTCAGATCACCGGCTTCTACACTCTGCAGATTTGATCAAACACAAAGCTTCAATTACTGGGATATCAAACATATTTTGGTCTATTAAGGGGCATCCCCTTATATGTTGATATAACTAAGCCATTTTATTCTACAATGTTTACCTTCTTGGGTATGATAACACCAGCAGGTGGACGGGCGATGTGCTTGTGGGGATCCGGAAGCTTGTAGATTGAGCATCTGGTTAAGTGAAATGTAATGACCGTTAACTAGGTTGCCACTAAATCATAACCATACGGGCAAAAGAAATTGAGCTTACATCACTTGATTATCCATGATGTCCTCAAGCCCATCAACAGGAGATCTGAAGACAGGAGGGGATGGGTCCCCACCGCAGAGTGCAATGTAACCATTCATTCCTCCACTAAATAAAAAAACAAGAGCAGCAATGTTAGAGAAATCCAACCATAAACACCTCAGCAGGCTAATATATTAGTCAGATTTATTCCCTCACCCCACCCCCCAAATCCACCCCGCGCGAAAAGCAGGCAGATTTGTTTCTGTGCTGTGTACTCATGGCCATTTGATCAAAAATCTTGAAAAGCTTATAGCTAACCTAGCTGAAGGATCAAGTTTTTCTTTGATTCCACCATGGTCTTTGTCTGGCAGATGCCCGAATTTACTGTTGAGAGAGTAGATATAAGGAGAAAGTGAATGGGAGCCATTCACAAAAAGCATATTGCACATAGTACTGTTTCTCCTTGCTTCTTCAGGCTACACAAAAAAATAAGGAAAGAGAAGCAGACCTTAAGATTTTTTTTTTCTATACCATATTGCTTACAAGCATATTTGCACAAGAAGCTGTCTCATTTCCATACCGTCAAAGTATGCTCAACTTTTTTAATCTCAGCCAGCAACCGGTCTTCTTCTATAAAGGGCAGTTTTGCTATCCCCTGCGAAGTATGCACTGCTCTTAGTGATGGCCGGTATACAAATATACAATAAGTAAATATGTTCTCCTAGGACATTTAATTAGAAAGGGCCCATGTATGACATATAATTATGCTCTGTTAAGTACCTGCCAAGAAAATCTTTTCCCATTCATATCTACTTCAAAATCTGCACGGTAAATAGGAGAAGAGAGATTAGAAAATATCTTTAGCTCGAGAGAATCTGATAATACAGCTCATTTCTTATGTTCACAACATCAGCATACCTGTTGGATAAAAATCAATTATTGATGAATTTGGATCAGTCATCAGTTGCCGATACTTTAGAGGAAGTGCATGAGCACTGAAAATAAAATGTAGCAACCAATAAGAAAAAAAAAACAGTGATCAATGAAGACCAAAGAGATGCAATCTTTAGCATATTCACCTTGCAGCAGGGAAAACCCCCATTAGCTGATCAAATGGCTTGAATGGTGACCCAAGTTCAAAAGTTATATTGAGCTGACTCAAACTCCTTAAATCCGAAGCAAAAGGAGCATAATGATAAGGATAAAACCTACAAGCAGTGAGACAAATTTAGAACGTCTTCGTAAAATCTACAACTGCATTACAGATAACCATTTCACTAGACATAACTGTATCAACTAGAGCAAGCAAATTACCATTGCCATGAGCAGACCCCTTCATAGTAGTAGTGCATCACCCAACACAATCCTTCAGTATACTTGAGAGCCTAAAGATGGAAGGAACACATCAAATATAATATATGCAAAAATGGGAGAATTTACATATCTAATTACAATCAAATGAAATCTTCTATCCACAAATGTGTATTGCTTCCCATAATATACTTACAACATCCCCCACGTATTTCTTCCATCCGTTCAGATGTCCTTGCCCCAAACTTCTCTTCATAGTACCTATCCCTCCATCCTGGTTCTCCAAGCTTTACCTGAATATTTAATATATTATGCGTCATTTTAAGCCTTTGAAATGCACGGATACAAGAGGCCAGACCACAACAAGCAGAAATTATGTTCTATGTTTAAAGACTTCAACCACACAGACACTCAAGGTTAAACCACAGCAAGTATAGAAAGGTAACCAAATATGTGTTTCAGTTTTTCACCTATATGTTCCAAATATAGGAAAGCAAGTGTTACGGGCAGTGGCAGGGCTGACTGGGCCTATTGAGCTTGTTAGGCAGTATGGCAAGCCAGATCTCTCGGGGTTAAGAGTTACTACCTCCGTTCCATTTTATCTGGCGCACACGTATATCAAGATTCAAACTTTAAAAACTTTGACCAATAATTAGGCTAATAATTTTTAACTATTATAATACAAATTTTATATGATTAGATTTGTAAGGAATTATACTATCCAATGATTATAAGTTCATAAGCATAAATAATATAATATAAAGCAAATGAATGTTCAAAGTGTGATCTAGGAGACCGTGTCATTCTAACTTGCGCCAGATAAAATGGAACGGAGGGAGTAGTTATTAGAGATAAAATTAGAGGTCTCTTGCTTAGGGGTTAAGGAAGCCTCCCTACATAAAGAGGGGAGATGCATAACAAGGCAAGCAAGAATCAATCTATTATCTAGTCCCTTCTACTATCCTTGCCCTTGTGCCGCTGCCACCTATCAGCGGCGAGGTCATGCTGCTTCGGTTCAGGGCCATCCAGAACTATAGGTTCATAATAACATAAAGACTCAAATGTTAATAAATTATAAGTTACAGCAATATTTTGCAAACTGACATATTACACAATATGAAAGGGGCAGTTTCAGTAATAAACAATATAAAATGTAATGAGATATGTTTGGTGCATACATACCTTGTCCTCCTCTGGATTTTCAGAATTGAAGACATCTGATTTCTCACGAAGAGCATCCTTAAGCATAGACTTCAATTCTTCTTTGTTTTCAAGCTCCTAAGTTGCCACAGGAAAATCAGATAAAATAAAAGAAAAAAATGAAAAGGCTTCTTCCAAAACAAAGCCAAATGAAATGAACTACCTGTGCTTCAAGATCTTTTTCAGCCTCAACAATAGCAGCGGCAATGCTGGAACCTGATGATGATAATCTTGGAGCTTTCCGAGCTTGGCTGTTCCTTTCTCTATGAGATCCATTCTGTTCATATGGTGAAGGTACTGCCCCAGATGCAAGGCGAGACCCTCGGAAATTTGCAACAGGTACAATAAGATCATCTCTGACATGGGGATCCAGATCATCCCCACGCTTTGCTTGGGCCTTTTCCCGTTTTATTCTTTCTGATTGACGCTGTGAACAACATCAAGTAACTTTTTAACAATTGACCTGTGCATATACAACAACAAAGCCTGTGCATATATAATAATAGGGAAAATTGTCTGGCGAACATCCAAAGTGATGGTCGTTTGCTGACGGACACCCCGTTTTGAGCAGTTTGCCAGAAGACACTCTGGTTCGGTGAAATTAGGCCACAGGACTGTAACACCCTCGGTGTTACACTGTAAATCATTTGCTAAAACATGTCATGAGCATCATCATGTTTATGTGTTAATGCATGTAATATAGGGTGTAGATCCAGTTCCGTAACTCAAAACGATCAACGGAAATGCATAACAAAAGTTAATTCCATAGTCATGTTTTATCACTTAGGGTTGAAAACCAATTTTTATTAAGCAAAAACGCTATAGAACATGTATGTGACACTTCAACAAAGTTTGTACTTCAAACTTTGTTGATGACGATGAAATACCTGTGGTCGAAAAATGGTATCACTAGCTAACATTTCTAATAGCTTGGAAATCGAATTTGAAGCAAATCCCACACCAGACTTGGTCAATTTCTTAAGTCTGAAAATAGTTTGACAAAGCTATGTTTGGCAATTTTTGCTAAGAAATTGGGTCAAGGAGTGGTGTGGTATTATGGCTTGTTTTAGTAGCCTAATATACCCTCTTAGGTATAGCAAAGGTGGTTTGGGGATTTGATCAACGGTTTAGATTTTTCAAACGCTTTAAAAACCGTGCACAACACGTACTCGACCGGTCTTCCAGTGTGGGTGCGGTCACCGTGCCTCGGGGGCACGGCGTTGCAGCATCGGCTCGTCCGACGCACGCGCGCACGCACATACGCGTAACGCCGCGCTCGGTGGGTCGCTAAGGGCCGGTTGGCCTGGCCGCATGGTGCCTTGCGTGCGCGGGTCCGACGCATTCGCCGCTTTTACCACGCTGCAGTCGCCGCGGCCGCCATCGCGTCGCGTCTGCGACGCTCAGCACTGCTGCCGCTTCTCCTCGCCGGTGGATGCCTTCCGCACGTGGCCATGCACGCCGCCGCTACACCATTAATGGCACTGCAGCGCGCGGGCCATGGCCTGTCGCCAACGCACTCGCTCGTCCCCTGCGCTTGGACGAGGGTCCCTCGGCCACGGCAACCGCACCCCGCCAAGATGCGCACCAGTCGAATCCTGACCGAGCCCCGTTGCCGTCCCGTCCGCCCGCATGCCCCTGCTTCTCTCTGCCGCCACCGTCGCCTTGCACCCACGAGTGCGCCAGAGATAGGTCACCTCTATTCAATTCGTCTCGTCCGCACCTGCGCTCTCTTGTCCACTCACCGCCTGTGCCACCTGCAGCCTTGATGACGAACGCCAGGCGCCAATTTGGCGTTTCCGGCCCGGCGAGACGTTAAGGTCACGCTTGGTCGTAGGCGGCGCGGACAGCTTCGCTTCCGCCATCGCCCATCGCCCAATTCATTGCACCGCTTACCTTCGCCTAGATCTTTTCTTTCGCCCGCAGACCTCGACCAAATTTAGTCGCTCGGCTCTCCTTAGTCACGACGCGACAGAAACATCATGATCGCGCCGCGATTCCACCGCCTCGCATGTGGCGGCCAGTTCGGGGAATCCTACCAAACCATCACCACAGCCGCAACAAGGGTACGATAGTGATGCTTTAGCTTTAGCTAGCTCTCCCCGCGGTGGTTGTGGCTGGCCGACGTGGTCGTGCCACTGTCGCGCATGGCTACGCGCTGTGGTCGCCACTTCCGCAAGCTCCGCCACTCCTATAACCTCGACTAGTGTAGGCGCTAGGGTTGTAGGTGCTGATCGGCCCGCTATCTGGGTCGGGGCGGGTCTCGGTTGGCCGACGTGACCGTCCAGTGCCGCGTCCGCCGCGCCAGCGCGTGCAGGGGTGGCCAGGGACCTGGCCTAAGTAAAGGCGATAGATTGCAAGGTCCTATCCGCAAAGTCTCTCTCGGGAAAGTGTTGTGGACTGCGGGTTGATTCGGTCTTAGCGCGGGGGCGTTTTTGCGAAGTTGGCAGCGCGCGCGGGTAACCGAGGACCATGCCGTTGTAAAGGAGGGTATTTCCGAGGGTTTTATTGCATAGTTGCTCTCTCTCTAGGAATAGTGACGCGCACGGCGGGTTAGTTTGTCCAGAGTTTAGGGGCGTTTTTGCATATGTGTCATGGCTGGCTCCCCGTCCGCAAAGCCGTTTATAAGACGTGGGCGGCGCTGCTGGTCTCGCGTCTTGACGCTGCGATCTTTGCGGATGGGTGCAGCGAGGTTTGGTTTTATTTTTCCAACGAATTAGCAAATGCTTTTCTAATTTAGTTTTGAGCTGATCTTTGAAAAATTATAGTAAATTTTATAGGTGTCTAAAAATAGTGAAACAAAATTTGTTAGGTTCGTAAAAATGTGATCTATCTGTTGGTGTAGTTAGCTTACAGTTATCTGTGAGGATGTTAGGTTCATTAATTCATTTAGGAAAGCTTAGCATTATTTGGTTTAATATTTGTAGGAATTTTTGTGGCAAATTGATAATAGCTTTGACCATGAAATTTTTACAGTAGGTTCATTGTATTATTATGTGTTCACTGTAATTTTTGTAGCCTTAGAATATGTTGATAAATATGGTAGCTAGTACTCCTTGTTTTATTATATATATATATAATCGGTATTAAGAATAAGCATGCCTTAGTTGCTAAGATAATACATGAAATGTTTCATACCTGTTTAGTGGGAATAATATGTAACTTAGTGTCTTAGTCATTAGAGCTAGCTTAGTAGCTTGATAGATGTTTTCTTATTTTAAGAGTTGTTGCCGTATTACTAAGTGTTGCATCATCATTTCATGCATGTAGATAACGAGTTGGTAGAGTTCGTGACTGCGGGCGAGCAGGAGTGCGAGAAGGTAATTGAAGAGTACGAGGAGATTCTCGTACAGGAAGGAGCCCCGGAGCCACCAGCAACTGACTTTGCTGACACCACGCCTGCCCAAGGCAAGCCCCGGTGCATAACCCTTATTTTAAATTATCATTGGATATATATATATGCGATGTGCATTTACGTTCCAGGCATTTTATGAAAACTACATGCATAGATATACCTACCTATGAGTCCTAGCATAGGTCGAATAGCTGCTATGCTTAGGATTTTCGGTAGTGTGAGTAACCTGCCGCTACTCACAATAGGTGATTATTATTATCACTCTTATGATAAAACGGTGAAAGGAAAAATGGAGACCGAGCAGGGATATGGTACGAGTATTGGTGGGTGTAAAGGATTGTGTCCCGCGACCAACGGGGCATAGCTTGGTTACACTGTTTTCCCTGTCCGTGTCGGTTAAGGACCGACCGTTGCATTGGATTCTAGTCAGGTCACAGACTTATTATCCTAAGCACATACTTGTTTATGGAAGCATGGAAAGCTCGTTGCTCTCTTGTCGTGGGTTCCGGCTCTTTCCGGACCGACTGATTGGAGGCGAGGATGATGGAGGTCTAAGCACCACACTGAGTCCAGGACTCAGGTGTGGGGGCTTGGAGTCCAAGTTTGGACAGGGACCTGGACCCCTTGACAGGAGAGTGATGGGTTGGTCCTACTTGTGCCTGGGATACAAGTGGGGCGTGTGTTTCGGAGTACCCAGCTGGGCACATTGATTCGCGAATCGCCACACAATCCGGTACAACTTGTCTACAATGTAGCACCGTAGTAAGAACTAGAAGATGAAATGTGGTGAAATTGATCTGTTTGCTCAACTCTTGCTTGAAAGTAAAACAGATGCTTACCTAGAATGGTTAGATAATGAACTAATCATGACTGCTAATAAGAAACATACATAAGGATTCACTACTAGTATTGCTTTCCGCAAAAAGGAAACCCAACAAACCATAAAGCTTATCATATCCTTTAGAGTCGGTAAATTATTCCCACTAGTCGGGTAAGTCTTGCGAGTACATTATATACTCAGGGTTTATTTACCCCTGTTGCAAATGCAGCTTGAGGAGTAGCTGTTGTGTGAAGGTTTCTTCTGGTGGGCACAGACAGATCCTTGTATTTTACCGATAGATGTTTATTTTAATTCCGCTGTTTCATTTCCGCACTCTAAACTTGGTACTGTAATAATGTATTTCTAAGAACTCTGGTGGTATAAAATGGACTAAGTATTGTAAACTCGTTCTCATTATTGGATCCTGGAGGAAAAACGTGGATTGTTCGAGTTCTCCCTTGGGGTGTGCTCGACGGAATCCGCCCGATGTAGCTTGTTTTCGGGGTGCTCAGTGTCTGATGGAAGACGAGCGCCTTCAAAGGCCTGTTATTTCGGCGGTTCTGCCACAGGACACCGCGGACCGGTTGCAGCCGGTTGAGAGAGAAAATTTCGTTTTGAACATCCGGTACCCCTGAGCCATAGTTGGGTCCGCCCCTCTCCCTCTCACTGACGTGCGGGCCCCACCTGTCATCTTCTTCCTCCTCTTCTCTTCTCTTCTTCCATTGGTTGAGCTCCCCTCCCCATTTGTCGTGCTAGCGCCGTCCCGTCTTCCCTCACTGTGCCAGGACCACCATGGCCGAGCTCCCATCGCCCGTGCCATCACGGCCCGCTGCAGTTGCGCCCTGCGGACCCACGTGCCACCGCAGCCTGCTGCCGCCCGCGCCCTGCTGCCCCACGCACCGCTACAGCCTCCTCATGTCCCGCAGCCGCCGCGACCTGTGGCCCCACGCACAGCCGAAGCATGCTTGAGCCTTGGTCGCTGCCGTGCGCGCACAGCCCCGCCCGCACGCCCCGGCTCGGGTCCTCCATGGCTGCCGACTCGCGGCGGGGCCGCCGCGGGCCGACTTTGGCGCGGTCGCGACTACCAATCTGTGCGCCCGGGCCTACCTACAGCACCGCATCTCCATTACTGCGTGCGCTGCTGCTACTCACAGGTCATGCACCGGCGAGCTCCAATCTCGCGGCCATGGCGGGGCTTGGCCTGAGTACGGCGACGACCTGCGGGCGTGCGAGCGGGCACGCGACCTGCGCGCGGACAGATGCGACCTGCCGCTGCGGACGCGGGCAACCTGCAGACCGGCGGGGGCGGCTGCAGACCGAGGCCGGCGCGGCATAGCGCGGGGGAGCGGGGCCGGAGGTAGACCTAGGAGTCCACGGAGACCCCACATGGGAGGCTCGCCTGAGACCCCACAGGCGCCGCCACCAGGGGCTCCGCGCGGAGGCGGCACTGCGCGCGCTCGAGGGCGCCTCGATGGATCTCCAACGTGTGGTGCGCGCTGGAGAAGCTCGGGAACGCTGCCGCGCTCGCCACCCGCGTGCATGACGGCGTGGAGCGCGCCTGTGGCCACTGCACGCTGCCGAGCTCCTGGGGTTCCTGGACGAGGCTAGCAACGGTGGCGGCGACGGCGACGGCGACGGCAACACCGCGCCGTGGGGGCAGAGCCCGTGCTTCTACACGTGGATGCTGGCGTTGGGGTACAGCGGCGCCATCCCCTCCGTTGGGTCCAACCAGACCAGGTTGAGGGCGGACCCAAGTGTGGCTCAGGGGCACCAAATGTCCAAAACAAAATTCTCTCTCCTCAACCGGCTGAAACCGAGCCACGGTGTCCTGTGGCATAATTTCAACAAACCAGAGTGTCTTCTAGCAAACTGCTCAAAACAGGGTGTCCGCCAGCAAACGACCATCACTTTGGATGGTTGCTAGACAATTGTCCCATAATAATAAGTATTCCAAATATTATTTTTTAAATGTTTGTTTAAAAATCTTAAAACAATTCAAATAGCTTATTCGAGTGCTATATGGCACTTATGGATGTGATAAAATAGTATATACTTCCATTCCATGGATAACATATTATTAGAATCACGAGCATGGGTAAATGCTGGATCACAGACGTTGAACAGACAGTTTTTCTTTCATTCTGTAACACTTCATTGCACGAAGTATGATGCAAACCAATACAGAGAGGGTGGGGAGGGGGGGCGGGAGGTTGAACCCATGAAAACCACAACCCTGTGTACCACTAGTTACTAGGCCACAATAAAACCCAAATACAGATAGGGATTTGATCCTACTGCAAATGGACATGTTCTGTTTTTATTGAAAGAAGAATTTAGCTGCCACTCACCAACATGAGAACATAGCAGAAAATTGATCAAGTTAAAAATGCCAAGAAAATTTACGAACCCTTGTACTATTATTTCCAGGTATAATCCAATAACTTGTAATGCAAGAAATAAAATTTAGTTTAGCCTTGCACACCTGATGCAAACGAGCCCTTTTCTGAAATATTTTATCCTCATAAGAGCCAACTGCTTGAATGAAGTGTTCGACTCTATTCAGATCTGGCTAAAATAACAAAGAAATAAACAAGTTACTGCAGAAGTACATATGGTTATCAGAAGTAGTCTTGTAAAAAAAATTAAAAAAAAAACATTAAGGGACAACTCCAAAATAATTAAACTTCTATTACCGTGCAAGAATCTGTTAAATAGCCACCCATTGAAGGAAATTCTTTCTTGTACACAGCCATTAACAGATTGATAGCTCCCTGCAGATACACCAGGCAAATCAGTAAATGTGACAAAAGTATAAGAGAGTGCTAGGAGTAGGAAATCATATTTATTTAAATTTGAAATAAGAAACTAAAGATCATGACTGCTAGCAAGCACTAACACTGATACTTAATAGATACTAGCTGCAAAGGTAGATATTTTAATATAGCATTAGGTAAGAAACCAGAAAACTAACCTCCCTGATCTCTAATGTTGGCATATGTGGAAGAAAATCATTGCCAACGAAAAAGCACATGAAGATGAAATCATCAACAATGCGTTCAAAATCAATCTGGAAAGGCGGATTTGGCATTCTGAACTCATATTCTAAGTACTCCCGAAGGGTCCAGATATTCAAGAACTGCAAGGGCACAGAGTCAAGAAGCAATACAAAACAAAAATTAAGGCCCTCGGTACAGGTTGAAACAGCACCATTACCTGGTATGGTTTCTTTGGAACAATAGCTTCACCTTTCTCATCATATTCCCCAGCTTTTCTTTTTGCCTTTCCTTCACAATTAGCGGCTAGATGTCCCACCTGACCACATAAGAAGCACTTGTCCTGCTGTCCAGGTGTAAAAACAACCTGCAAACATAAAATGCATAATCTTTAACTCAAGATTTTACAAGAAAATGTAAAAAATAAAGTGAACAAGAGAGCTGTGTATCATCATATTAAGAAGAAAAAGTGTAAGAAACCCTTACAGATACACATCCACACCCACTCACACTAATGTTACAAACTGTACCAAGATTGCCTGAACAAAAACAAACTCGACCTAGGAGGCTAGAAGGTGAAACTAATGGTTTGCTTAACAAATTTAAAAAGTAAGAGACAGCTGAAATTAGATGACCAATTTTTTTTAATGAAGAAAAGAATTAATTTCAAATTCGCTAAGGAAGGCTTACCTCTCTCAATATAGAAAAGTGTACTTCATGAGTTGCTAAAGCTAACATTATGAGGTCTGCATCCTGCATGTGTAAACATGCAAGCCTATGCATTAGCAGAACTGAAGAAATAAAGTCCAACTGAAAGTATAGAACCTCGTTTGAAAAACGTACCAGGCCATACAAGCAATGGCGGGTGTTTGGATTAAATCCGGGGAGATTCCGTTGACCACGAATATATGACATTATTTTATGTTCCCCTTCACCAGGAACATTGGCATCAGATAGAATAACCTTCAAAATGATTTGGTCAGAACATACCCATTTCTTCATTATTAACTTTTTCCAGTGTGTAGATTTTTTAACTAGAATAAAATATGATGCAACATACTAATAAAAAAACAGGAGATCCAAAAATTGAAGTCTAAATTGGCAACAGATACTCAGATAGCACTTACTTTAATTTTTTTCCATCCAGGATCATAATTCAGTCTTTGATGGATGTAGTACTGTAAAGCAACTGAAAGAACAGCCATAAACTCGGTTCCTGGAGTAATAACATTAGAATCACAAGTCTGTGATTGCTGTTTTGCAGGAAGCCTTCTTCCTTCCCTCTCAAACTCTTCACGCAACCGTTCTTCCTCTGCAGCCTGGAGATAGAACAATACTGAGCAATGAACTACAAATGGTTGATACTGTTTCAAAACCAATATTGAAATGACAGCGTATGATCATACACTTAACAGAGGATGATAATTCCAATAGAATACTGACCGCATCAGCTGCATCTTTTGCAGCTCTGAATCGTCTAGAACGTTGTTGGTTCATTTTAGCACGTGGAGCCACACCATCTGTAAACCACTGTATAATCAGCATATATGCAGTGGCACAAACTCTAACAACACCTTAAAAGAGTAACTATCATATGTGTTCCTAATCGTTACTAATATACTGACCATATGAACTCTAATTTCTAGAACACTAGAATTGATGGATGATAAAGTAGTAAGAACTGTGTAATCTGCATAAAGGTTCAAGGAGAGCATACCAATAGCCATGTACATAAGCTTCCTAGGGCGAACCATGATGAAGAGTCTATCGATGTAATCGAACATGCACTGGAAAACCTCAGCAAATGTTGTTGGGGAGGGCTGTAGAAGAAAATACCAGACAGAATTACAGTCAATACAAGTAACAGAAAAAATACAAAGGTTTCAATAGAAGAAAAGTAAAATGCTTCCTCTAAAAGCACGGACAGAACAACAACATACAGAGTAATAGCTGACACAGCCTTCCAGAGTCCTGTCAAATGCAGGTGCTTAAAGCAACGATCCTAGGGAAAAGAAAACGTAGGGGTTTTGGTCCACATAGGACAGAGGAGTAACTTCATCATTGCATCGAATCCAGTAAGGTGCTATATGTGATCTTAGCCTGTTAAGGTTGTTAACTTATCTAAGCCCCAACCAAAATAGATTCTTGTGCCGGGATCTTGAGGCCCTGGATGAATGCTTAATGATGTTGCACATTAAGCATCTTATTAAGCAGTAGTTGCATCATACTAAAAACTATAATGAAAATAGCCCCAGATCCTGGTAGGTAAGTGGTAAATACGCAGTCCACACCATTTGGAGCCCGTCAATAGACAAAATAATACTGAGAATATTGAAAACCACATGATTAACTTGAAGAACTGAAGAGCGGTTCTGTACAGACGTGTACACGAGCTGGAAAGGGGAGCAATTTTGCAGTCCCATTTCTGTAGTAATCGGCATACCAGTCGAGCACAAGCTCAAGGTCACCAAATTCTCTCAAACAAAACCTCTAATCTTCCCGTCAGCAGCTCACAACCCTCACAAGCCGACAAGCCAAGCACAAATCCAAAAGAGCAAAGGCGTCGAATTGCACCATCAGAAACCAGAGACAAGCTGCCAGCTCCTACGCTACGACGCATCTGGAGGTGGAGGGCAGAGAGGAGGAACTGAAGACGGCAAGCAGCGCAGCCTGATAATTATTCAGTGATTACGTACCCTATCCTCCGGGTGGAAGCAGGGGTGTATGATGCCGTTCATGTCGAGGTAGAGGTTGTCGAACTCGAGGCCGTTGGGGTTGGGCTTGGAGGTGTCGACGGGGACCCGGACGCCCTCGATCTCGACGGGCTCCTCCTCCACCACGTCCACCACCACCATCGGGTACTTCTCCGCCAGCCACCGGTAGAAGGCCGGCACGCCCATCTCCGCCGACTCCGCCGGAACCCTAACCCTAGAAGCGGTGGTCGCGGGCGCGGATGCGGATGCGGATGCGGATGCGGGCAGAAGAGGCGCGCGACACCAACGGGTACTTAGCTGGGTGGCGCGCACGGGGCGGCGGAGCGAGAGGACCGGGGGGAATATGCGCTTTTGCGGCGCGGCACAAAGAAAGTTATTAGGAGCGGATCGAAGATCAAACCGGCTAAGCTGTCGGTTTATTGGTTCACTGCTCCAACCGTTTAGAACCAGTTGAACCGCTGGTTCAATTGTTTTGAACCGGACGAATTGAACCGGCCACAAAAATAATGAACCGGTATATATATATGCTATAATTAATAATTAACAGATAATAAACAACACAAATTTAATTGCACAACTATAAGGTTTATACATATGTATATATAGAATGGCATGTTCTTAATTCAAATTAGCAACATATGATTGATCATATATACAAATAATCTAATAAAAACACAATTATATAACCACCTTTGAAATAATCTAGCCACAAGTCCACAACAGGTACTCTAAAATCAACATTTGTCTGTTGACGACTCTTAACTCAAATGATCAGATTGTTAAAAGATAATAAACAACAACATCTCATAATGCATCGTAGCAAGATAGATCTTAACTTGACAGGTTCTAAAAAAAGGATTTAAATAGTAATTCAAATATTAAGTGTTGGAAAATAATCTCAATGCTGAGATAAAGTGTACCATTATGAAGAGCTCGTCGAGATAATCAAAATAGATATATTATTTATATATTTTAGAGCTAGAATGAAAAAGATATTAAAATTTGAAATTAATAAAAAACCATCCAAAGTCAATCAACAACAAAAACATAAAGCACGGGGCCTGGCAGGCAAGTACTATACGCACGCACACAGCACGCTCAAACACGCTAGGCCGACAGGCGGCAGTAGCAGAAAGGCCCAGGCCCAGCGCCAGTTGCTCACGCGGGATACCACTGGAGCCAATTTCCAATAATACCCCTAATTAGATAAGGTCGTCCTGAGTGCATAGAGGGGTAATTTTGGAAAAACTCACCGGTTCGTATGGAACCGGCCGGTTCACCGGTTCCGTAAAAAACCAGCCGGTTCAACCGGTTTTTAGCGGTTCGATTGCACAAACGGTCTTTTAAGTGAACCAGACCGGTCTACGCTCTGGTTCGGTCTTTTAGCGGTCGAACCGTCGGTCCGGTCCAATCCTAATAACTAGGGGCACAAATATCTCGCTCAGGCTCAGGAGGGGAGAGGCGGCGTGGATTGCGACGTTGACGAGACGAGAACGGGGTCGGTCCGTGGGCCAAAGAATGAGTATGTGCTGGGCTGTTATATTACGGACTGATTCTGGATGTGGATAAAACTGGTTTCCCCAGGAGTTGAGAGACCTGGATGTAGGGGTAAAAACGGTACGGATATTTTCCGACCGTATTTGAGACCGAATCCGTTTAGAGGAGTTCAAATCTGTCATATCCGAGTCCGAATATTCAATATCCGATACCGTATCCGTATCCGAATAATCAAATCGCATATTTATGATGTCGATATCCAATCGTATCCTATCCGTCATGGTTGACAATATTCGTATTCGAATCCGAATCCGGACAGAAATATGAAAACAAATGTAATATCAATGATATCCGTTCGTATTCGATCCGTTTTCATCCATACCCGGATGAGCCTAGCCTTTCTTATACGGGCCCTTCTCTCTTCTCGATATGGGACCGTCAGTTTTGTTTTCTTTGTGTATTAGAATTTTCTATTTACTACTAGTTCGTTTGACTTTTTTTTCTAAGTTTGACCACTTGTCTTATTAAAAAAATTGTGCAAAATATCACTTCTTTTGTTGTGGTTTGCTTTATTAACAAAAGTTCTTCAAGAATGACTTAAATTTGACTATGTTTCCATAAATTTTTTTAATAAGACGAGTAGTCAAACTTTGGGTTAAAAAAGTCAGATGAACTATAATTTAGAACGGAGGGAGTAGCAAATATGTCCGAATACGTATTAGAATTGGTCACTTTATCATCTCTAGACGTGAGTTATTTTAACTTGTATGTGCCTTTTAAAAGAGAATGGAAGGAGTATGTTTCATTTAGTGTGTTTGTTACTGTATGATATGGTTAGGTTAGCACGGCAATGGTCCGTTTAATACGGACATTATTAAATTTATCCTCCATCGTCCATCCTCCCTATGATGGCCCTGTTCGCTGGTTGGTGCTGGTGCTGGTTTGGGCTGGCTGGTGCTGGTTTTCTGTGAGAGGAAAACACTGTTGGCTGGCTGGTTTGGGCTGGCTGAAACCAACAAGCGAACAGGCTAGATATCTCTACCGTCCATGTCGCTGATACATAGAATCGTCCGGTCCTTTCCGCACTCCCCTCAGCCCCTGTCGGCAGCGATTCCTTCCAAGAAACCCACACGGTGAAGTGCTTAGTTCTCCCTACCCGGTGGTTCCCCTTCAATGAATCTCACCGCTAGTGGAAGTTTCTTCGCAGTGGCAGAACTAGGATTTTACCACAGGGTATGCCTAAAAAAGAATTCTTATACGATTCAGTAAACCATTTATGATTCGGTAAAACCATATTCTAATTCGGTAAAACCACATACATTAAACAACATGATAAGCCTTAAATTCAAAGAATAAGCTAGAAACAACGATAAATCTCGATATAAATTGTTCAAATGAAATACAAATAGTTCGAAATATAGCCATAGAAGAGACTTATAATATTACTTATTTATCCGCCGCTTTCTTAATGACATGAATGTCTCCTATACTACCTTTTTTGATGGATTGATGCTAAATTGCTAATTAGGTCTGTTGAATGAACTCACGAACACGAACTGAAACTGAAATAATAAGAAACACTCATAAATAAATAAATAAAAATATGACTATAAGGCCCGTTCGCGTGCCCTTAAACCCGACTTGATCTGCTTCTTTTTTCATCCGGAACAGTGTTTTTCTCTCACAAATTCCTCCATAATTCCTTCAAACTATCCAAATTCCTCCGGAACCATACCATCCGAACGGGGCCTAAGATACGAGTACACAAAAAGTTTTTTTACAAGATCAATACCTACAGTCTAGTCAGTCCTGCAACTAAGTGCTGCGCTGGCCCCGGCGACCAACGCAATCCCGGCCCGGCGTGCGGCATCCCGCGCCCTGCGATTTTTTTTTTAATTTTTAACACTTTTTATAAACTAATTTTAAATCTAATATTGTTTTATTTTTTTCTCCAAAACTAACATTTTTTGCCGCGCATATTTCTCAGACACGGCGAAACACCTGTGTCGCGCCATGCTGTGGGGCGCGGCGAGGGGGATAACGTGGCGACGACCGGGGCGCTGACCGGTGACGTGAAAGGTTCTGTCACGCCACCGATCTTGGCGCGGTAGTCCCAGATAAATATCGCCCGCGAGCCGCCCTCCCTCTGTCTGCCTGCCCACCGCCACGCCCGCCCGCCCGCCGACAGCGCGCCCGCCCGTCCGCGAGCCGCTATCGTTTTAGAGTTGGCAAAGAAGCTTCTAGTATATATATTATTATCGTGGGGCTATGGTTATCTTTCTATATTATCTGTATCTATTTTTATTTTAAAGTTAGCAAAGAAGCTTTTAGCATAATTAGCGGCATGAAACCATGGTTTTGTTTTCCTAAATTGTCCATAGATACATTCACCCGTCCATAGATACATTCATCCGTTTTCGTATAGTAGTTAGTAACGGAATCTCTAGCATACTTATTAGCGTGGTGCCGTGAATAGCTTCCCGTATAACATGAGTTAGACGAGTATCGCTGCAACGTCTCTCTTATTTTCTTCCACGTGGTCGAGATTCATTTGCCTATCAGGGTTTGCAGGCAGTTTAGAAGAATGACAGGCTACCCACCACCGCTTTACTCCACCAACCAAGAATTGCATGAGTGCGTTATCAATTAATAACAAAGCTACAATTCAGAGGTGTGTATGGTATAACTAACAATCGTTTTGTTGCAGGTATGACCGTAGAAAGAGGTACAAGACCAAGGATTGACGCGTGACACACAACGCGTACATCCAGTTGTGGCAGACCAGGGACCGGCAGCCGGTCAATGCGGGTCCCCCACACGACTAGCACACCTTCGACGAGTACCTGCGGTGGCTTCACAGGTCTACGATGACACATATCAAGTCCCCGTACACTGAGGAAGCGATTGACGAGGACGACGAGGAAGATGTGATCGAAGATGTGTACGACGTTGCCACTAGGGACGACACACAACTACAGAGAGCCCCGCTTCAAAGATACATGGTAAGATACCCGAATGGTACAATTTGTTATCCATTTGGTATTCAATATGTGTACTAAAATTGTCCAACCACGTTTCTATACCTAGGCGACACAATTGTCAAGGCTGTCCAACGAAGCAGCGTTTTGGCTTCATGAGTCTAGAGGGCAGGGGCTAGGCGTTCTCGAGGCTTTTGTGGAAGTAAACATAAACTTGTCGGTTCCAAAAATATTTCTTTAGTGTATATGCGTTTGGGAAATGCACTAACTTTAACGTCTATTTATGCAGAAGGTGAAACGGAGCTACAGAAAGCTAGCTCAGAAGTTGAGCTGCATGGACACTCCTTGGGTGGAACCCGATTATCCGGCGCGGTCGGGTGGCACGTCTTCTAGCTCTTTGAGAACACCAGCTGGCTCTTCTTAATCGGTGAGAAGTGCCACTTTCGCAGTACGTATACCACCACATCATAGCACTGAGAAGGACCCTGCAAACGAGGACAACGATGACGATGATGACCCCCAGGCTTCCGCATACAGCACCACCAGTGGGACGATTGGTAGTAGGATGTGATCGACATGTGTCAGCTAGGTGGTGCCCCGCTTGGTGCCCAAGGAGCCTCACAGGTAGTGACAAAGGTAGTTTTTTTAAATACGTATGCTCCATAAATTAACGATCATAAAGATTATAAGTAATCGTGCATATCATATACT